AAGGAAATGGCAATAAAAGTCAAGAAAGAAATCAAAAAGAAGAGACAAGAAGAAGAAACTGAGCGACGGACGTTGCAAATCTGTTTGATTAAATAATTTAAAATTAGATAATTTATTTAAATTTTACTCGCCGCACATCCGCCATAAAACAACAACAATTGCATTATTTCGCATTTTTTTGCTCGTCTTCGAATGCGCTTAAACTGGTTCTACAGTTTTCCTGCAGTATATTGTACATATGTGCCAGTATGCATGTATGCGTGATAAAAAGCAACAACAACAATAATAATGCGAAAGTGTACTCACCTGCTGCCATAAATTCCATTGAAGTTTTTCTTTTTGAGCACATTTCGGACGACTTGTTACCTTACCACATAACAGCTGCTTTGCTGTGGCAAATGGGTGTGTTCGCACATACACACACACACACTCCAGTAGGCACGATGTCATATAGAAAATACTGCACTGTGTGTGTTGTGTTATTGGCTGAAAAAAGTGGGTGTGTGCACTGTGATTGTGTGGGTTAGTGGCTGATAAAGCCGCAAGCTCGAATATCACACACACATACATACACATATGCTCACATTTATAGGTATGTGCCATACATATACTAGTTTTGCAACTAAAACTCGAAATTAATGTCATTGCTGGGCCCGTTCAATAATTTATTCCTGCTTTTATTATTATTTTTTTTTATTTTATTTCTCTTTGGTTGTCCTTTCAAAAATCTTTTTTATAGAATTACTGTGCACTTTACGCACACATTATTTTTAATTAATGAAATCTTATCGATTTTATACCGTCAAAATTTGCAAATTCATGTTTTCAATCTTTTACGACATTTTGATTGGCTTCAGTTGTGTTTTATATGTACATATGCACATATGTATGGATGAATGCCTGCTTTATATATATTAATGTTTCCTGTGTGGTTATTAACGGCACACAAAAGCCAAAGAGACAAACCCAACGGCTGTCTTTGTGTTAAGTTTGGCAAAAGCGAAAGCGATTCTCTAAATTTTATGGCCATCGTAAATTCCAAATATTTCATTTTATCAAATCTTGTTATAAATATGTGCATACATATGTTTCACTTATTTATTTATTTAGTGTTTTTATTATTCTGGATGACGCCCTTGAAGTGGAAACTTTCATGGGCAGCTACGGACTGTACATCTCTCCACTAACTCCCACTCTCACCGCGGAACTGGCAAATGAAGTATTACCTCACAGCGTTGATAAGCTCATTGGCCCGCTTTATGCTTCATAAACTCCTTCGTGCTGGCAAGGCCTTGACTTCTGTCTACCATATTTTTCTGTTCCTTGCTCTCTTCGTGAGATGAAGCTAATGTTCGTGAAGTCCCTGATTCTTTGGTATAGCATATTGGCTGATCTCAACATTTAAATGTTTAAGTCTTTCAAAAACTGGCATATCTTTTGGCGATTCTGCCTTGAAAACAACATATAATTTAATAAATTGCGTTCATCCAGAACCCTGGTGGTAGCTGGTAGACATCTTGGACAGCGTAACATTACACTTCACGCTCTGGACATTTCGGACCAGAGATCCAACTGTCATGGCCAATAGTCTTGTAATATATGAGTTCTTACTCAGCAAGAGTTTTTTCAAAAATTGTATACTTAAAGTTTTATGAGTTTTTTCTGATCATAGAATAAACAATTCGTTATTCGTTTGTTTATATATAAAATTTTAACTGTACAATTATTCGTTCACTTCACTGAAAGGCGCTAAGTTCACATTTTTACATAATAGATTTCGACTGCTCTTTCTTCTATTGTTCAGTAAATAAACAATTTATTTTAATTTTCGAAAAAACACATCAACTTTGTTGACTAGAACAATTGAGGCAAATAACAGTAAATACAACACATTAACACGCACATCGCTCGGCTTAACACGTTAATTGAATTTGATTGATGTCACTTGGCTAATGCGTGTTTCGTTCCAAAGTACCTTGACATGTCGGTGAGACTCGGCAGATGCTTACAAATATATTTATATTGTATTTCGGGGTTTCGAAAAAAAAAACCTAAAAAAATGATTTTAAAATAATTTTTACATCATTCAAATGAACGCTGCGTTAAATCCAAAGATCCCCAGTCCACTTTTTGGCACAACTTGAACGCTTTCTCAGCCAAAGCATGACGAATGTTGGTTTCCAAGTACTGAAGGATTAAACGTTTATCCGCATAGACAGGGTGTTTCGCGTAGCCCCATAGAAGAAAGTTCAACGGTGTTAAAGCGCGCGATCTCTGTGGCGAAATGACATCACCAAGTCAAGGGACTACACGGTGTGACAGTTGAGTTCGACTGGTCTGGTGGCAAAATACAGCTGTGTACTTTTGAAGCCACGAAATGGATAACCCTATACATACAAATATCTATATGTACAAATGTTCCTCATAATTTACGCGCATAAAATATTTGAGTTCGCGAGCACCTAAACTATTTTGCAGGTTGATTTGTCTGTTTATTAAATTTGCTTCCATCAAATGACCTTAAAACTTACAAAAATATTTGTTTGAAAAAATTACTTCATACAAATTTGTTTACATACACTTATCACAAGTAGATTTTGAGTAGGAAATTGTTTGAATAATTTTATTTTTTACAAAAGATTTGAACAGCTGATCTTGCGTCGAATCGTTTTTCGAATAACAAAAACACGCAGGTTTCTACGTTCAGAGGGAGCGGCTTTTTCTACCCCTTGCGGAGAGTAATACTAAATATTTATTTATTTATTGAATTATAATTTACTGAATAATTGACTCGAACGCTTTGCGCAACCTTATTACAGCCCTCAATCTATGCATACACGTATTGCATCAAAAATAATTTCAATCACAATCAAGTTGATCAGCTAAAAATGTAAACCTGCCTCATGCTATCAATCAAAAGTTGTATCAATAATAATTTAAACGCAATTTATTAAAATAATTACCAATAAACAATTATTAGAATTATGGCATATTTGTTTACTTCCTCTATAAGCGAACAATAAAGTTCCTTGCTGCGAACCCAGCAGGAAATGCGAGGTGCAGAAAGCTTTGAGAGCTGAAAAAGTTTCTGTTTTTTGGGCTGATGACCTATTTGAATGATCGTAGATATATACAGAAATTTATTTCACTTCAAACACAAATGAAGCTCTGCAGTTTTTGGGTGAGAAGCTCAAATATCGATAAATTTTCCTGTTCAACTTTCAATTAAAGCTAACAAATGGGCGGCTTACCGTTGAATGCTTGATTAAAATCATTAAAATTCATCAAAAGTCGTTATAATTACCAATAAAGTTGCACATCTATGTAAGCACATGAACTTGTTCTAAATATCAGCAAACCCGTGTTTGTGCACTCGTGCAACAATTTTCAAAACAAATCGAAACTGACCTTAGTACAACATCTGAATAATGATCAATAATTTGATAACAAATTGTGTTTGTGTTGCATAAGTATTCGACGCAGCTGCTTATATATTTGAGTTAATGCTTCATAAATATTAGGGTTGTCCTTAATTGATCGAGTTGTTGCTCGAAATTGTTTCCCCTAGTTTTGTGTAAAATAAAATGTAGAACAATTTTCCAACAATCAATTCAATGAAAAATATATATATGTTTGTATGTGTATAATATAAGTTGAAAAACATTCAGATATTTTTAATTAAGTCATAACGCAATGAATACAGATGACACAGTAATCCTTTAGTTTTAGGCTCTCTCATAGAAACCCTTTTCCTTATTTGCACAAAATTGGGACAATCAGTTTTTGCAGCTTTCTTTTGTGGCTAATTCTTCAACAGCCAAATATTCGCCATAGACAGAAACAGACGGTAATCACTTGTTGCGATGTCCGGATTATAAGGTAAATGCATAAGAGCCTTCCAACCAAGCTCTCGGAGCTGCTGGCGAGTCACTATCGATGTGAACGGTCCGGCCTTGTCCTGATGAAGCACAATTCCCCTCATATTGGCCAAAGTTGGATGCTCAGTTCGGACAGTTCAGGTCCTAATAAAGAGTTTGACCGCAATTTGGCAGCTCATACCAAAAACATAACAAAACTTCCCTGGCTACTCACATTTTCAGCTACCTGGATTGCGCTTTCGCCTTTATCGAAGAAAATTTTTTAGACTGTAGGGTATTTTAAATATGCTGGTGTTCATTTTTGGATGGTCAACTCTGCTCCCCTAATATTTTCTAGTAAAAAATATCAGATTTCTAACACCATCTAGCAAGATCCAATCGCACTTACTTTTACTAGACCGCTACAGGTGGAGCTTGAAATAGGAAACACCCTCATATGCTTATTTACATATATAAATACGCGAGTACTTATTATTAGCAAACCTGTTAATCGAATCTCAAATTGGCGATGTTCTCAATCAAATTATTTGCTCTAAAAAAACAATTCAGTTCGCTGAATTCAGTGGTGGGAATGTTGTTAAGCCCCACCGACCGAACCGAGTCTATAATTACTGATAATTATTGGGTGGGGTGCAATTACATATGTATGTACGTACTCGAAAAACACTTTCATAGCGAACTAACAACACGAAACTGTTTTTTTTTTTTGGTTTCTGATTGCAAAACTTTATTATTTACGATCGCAAAGCGAGATCTACATATGTTTGTATGTACGTGTATGTACATAATGAAATGCGTCATAAATGTTTTGAATTTTTTATGCAAACAAATATGAGTTTTATTTACATACAGACATATGTACATATGTATTTACACATAACAAATTTTTCGAAAATTTTCCGAAAATATTTTTCTCACTCTCACTCAAAAATCAACAGCGAAACACACAAAACAACATTGAAACCACCTTCAAGGTTCATAACAGTGCTACAACAACAACACACGCTTGCACACACGCACGATATAGAAAATCTTGCTGCACAAAACTACATGCTTACAACGGCACAAGGACTCTTAAAGAATTCACTTTTGCTAAAATCCTCTCTTTTATTGTAATTGCAGTGGTGCCACCAGCTCAACGTCCAATGCCAACAATGCCAACAATAACAACAACAGCCAACAAATTTACGTGGATGAGGCAGAAGTGGAAAATCGAATGAAGATGGTTATAAATGAAGAAAAGTTTGTAGTTTAAAATTTCGAAATTTTTCAAATTCCATGTTTTGTCCTCTGTTATCCTAAAGGGTGTTTTTTTTAAGTAGACATGTGGTTTTCAATGAGGCAATGATACTTTTCACGGAGTTGGCCTCTTTTGTAAGCTGTTATTTGATATATACTCTGTTTGGTTTGCCATTTCGTTTCATAAAGAATATCCCAGCGAGTACCGACTGGAGAGCAACGATGGATCGATTTCGCATCATGTTTACTCTAGTGGATAATGCGAAGAAAGCCCGAATGTGTCCATCCGCCTTCGCGCGCATAATTTGGAGAGCCCATCTAATTTATGGAAATCGTGCAGGAATTGAAACGCCGTTACATCCTTAAAAATTCACCGTTTGGTTAACTCTATGCGCAGCGGGACTCATCGCTTAAAATTTCTTCGAAAACGAAATCGAGCATAATGTTAAAATCAATGGAAAATGCCATAGAGCCATACTTAATGTGGTTAACGTGCCTGAATTGGAGGAGGATAAGCAAGACGAGGCTACATGCCATAAAGCCAACGAAACACACACATCGTGGTGCTGTGGTGTGGCTCCAAGATCGAGCGATTTAGCACCGCTGGAATATTTTTTTCATGGTTATGTGAAATCGCTCGAGTACGCAGATAAGGCCGAGACGATTGACATACATGCCCGATTGTTGCAAAAAGTGGCCGAAATTGGGCCTCTCGGCTGGAATTTATTTGAGCCAACCTCGGCAGCCAGTTGCTCGAAATCACTCTTCTATTCTTGGCCATAACCATAAATTATTCTTCTTGAAAACCACATGTCTTAAAAAACACCCGAATATTCTTTGTTTTTGTACAACACAAATAACACCTGTAAATGTTTGACACAAATTTATGAAGTAGAAACCGTAAAAAAGTTCACTAAAAATTGTATTTAATTATTAGAAAATTCATTTTGTCTTCCTTCCTCTCGATGTAATAAGTTTTAACAAGTATAATTGGGTTTAGGTTTGGGTTTGGGTTTGTTTGTATGTAATCGTATTTATATATAATAGATTAATTCGATTCTTCTTTTGAAATTTCGTTAAACTTTTCATTTTGAATTATGTTTTGTTTTGTCTATTTACATTTTGTAATTCGTTTCTAATTCTTTATTTTGCATTTAGTATTTCTCTTTATCACCTTTCCGAGTGTTTTATTCTTTTCCTCTCATATTTAGTTTTTCGTAATCACTTTAATTGTATTTCGTGAATTTCTGCATTTTTTTGTTCATTCAGTTTCAGGTCTTTCATGTTTATTTTGAGTGCGGCGCTCGTGGCCACAATCAAATCCGCAAACATTTTTATAATCCCATTTTGAATTATATTACTTTTTATGGTATCGCTCTGAGTGTGCAAATATTTTATCAGCTCAAAATGATCTTTGCACATTTCACCGTTATAATTGAATTTGGGTTTTCAAAATCATTTTGTTAATTGCAAGAATTCCTAAGAATCTTTTATCAAGTTCTGCGAAGTGGTTTATATGAGTACGCCAACTGCAAGGATCCCCTATTTAATCGTTTCAAGGCATTTGTGCCCTACCACACCCCCCTCGCTTGAAACACAGTAAAATATTTTTACTACTTTGGTGGTTTTTTCTCACTCCTATCTTATCATGCTCTCGCTTTCAATGATTTTTCAATGTCACGATAAGTAAACAGTTAATAATAAATACTCATTAATAGACGTTCAACGCACCATAAAATAATTATTTCTCTGCTTAAAGGAAGTGCATACATATGTACATATGTATGTGTGTTGGAACGAATTACACGACCATAAATTGCTCGGTATCGGTGGTAAGTTGGGGGCTTGTCATTTGAAGTAGTTTTGAGAAAAGATGATTCATCTTCAAACAGTGCGTAAGACTCATTGCTTAATATCTCCTGAGTTAGATATCCGTAATAGAGATTAATAGAACTCGAAGTCTTTGTGACACCATTCTTAGTACTAGAATCACAAAATAATCTCAAGACTGAATTTTCTCAGAATTTTCGCTCCAATAGTTTCAGGACCCCACAAGTAATTGCTCAAGGACTAACATGGGTTTCAAAATCTCGAAGATATTATTCCAAATTTTCAAGTAGATCTGAATAGAAGATCCGGGGATGCAGGCTTGGAAAGGTACGCGCTCAACGCCACAGTCGAAACAGTCTTCTCAAAACGGTTGTAAAAAGTTCTTGAAGACTGTCCAAGCGATATTTAATTCACAAAATCACAAATTTTACGCCCCTTTTTTTTAAGCTGGCAAATATTTATTTTCACTTCCGTTATTTTTCTTCCTTCGAATTCCAGTTTACGGTATTAACTAAAACACGATTTTTGGTCCACTTCGGACCGTCATGTTCACGAGCTCGACTGATGTGAGCAATTTCCTTTGAAGCTTTCATAAATTCTGCTTCAAATGCATATCTTTGAGACAGTAAATAGTTTCAAAGAAATACCTTCTCTTCTTCTTCATTTCGAATTATAGAAGACAAAGATTATTATTCTTTTTTCTTCGCAATAAGTTTCATACATACATAATTACGTAATTATTCCACACTTCAATAAGAAGAAACACCATTGCCAGCGAGCAAATCGGTTAATTAAAAGATAAAAAGGAGAAAGAGAGCTTGTTTGTGATAAGAATGTTTTGGAAACGGATTTTTTGATTTTCTGTTTTTGAATGAAACAACACAGTTATCTCAAAATAGGTAAAATGTAAACTGTTTTGGTTTGGTCTAATTTCGTGTCAATGGAATTTTATTCCAAATTCAGGCAGCATACGAGGAGGTTTTATGTCATTTCCTCTGTTTGCATTTTTGTTGTCCTGTGGAAAAATGTTGCACCATCATCAAAACACCGTCACATGCACCGCATTAAGGTTCTTGTGCTACACTTTCATATTTACAAATACACAAAATCACGAATATACGAATATAATTATTAATTATTCCATTTCTTCCTTTAACTACTTTTTCAGTTATTCATATGAGCTGATCAAAGAGATCGCCGACTACTTTTTGGAACGCACCAGCATACGCCCGGTGATCGGCATCATTTGCGGTTCGGGTCTGAACTCACTAGCCGATCACATTACCGACATACAGGCGTTCGATTACAAGGACATACCAAACTTCCCCGTCTCCACTGTGGAGGGTCATGTCGGGCGTATGATCTTTGGTTATCTGGAGGGCATGCCTGTTGTCGCTATGCAAGGACGATTCCACTACTACGAAGGCTACCCCTTGGCAAAGTGTTCCATGCCTGTGCGTGTGTTGAAGCTGGTCGGCATTAAATATTTATTCGCCACCAACGCAGCCGGTGGTCTGAATCCGAAATATAAAGTCGGTGACATTATGATTGTGCGCGATCATATAAATATTATGGGCTTTGCTGGCAATTCGCCGCTGCAGGGTCCCAACGATCCACGCTTCGGTCCACGTTTTCCGCCCATGACCAATGCGTACGATCGGCATTTGGTGCGCAAGGCGCGCAAAGTGGTCCGTGAGATGGGTATTGAGAACGATGTGCACGAAGGTGTCTACACATGTCTGGGTGGCCCGAACTATGAGACTGTGGCCGAGTTGAAAATGTTGCGAATTATGGGCGTTGATGCGGTGGGCATGTCGACGGTGCACGAGGTGATCACAGCCAGACATTGTGATCTCACGGTATTCGCCTTCAGCTTGATCACGAACAAATGTGCGACCGACTATGACAGCAGTGAGGAGGATGCGAATCACGAGGAAGTTGTAATGGTCGGCAAGTCGCGTCAATCGATTTGCGGTGAGCTAATGTGTCGAATGATACGCGATCTCGCACAGGACATTCAGCAGAAAAATGGCAAGAAGTGAAGGGGAGCACAGTGGCGAATCGAACCAAAAAATATTTATAGATTATAGCGGTTACATAGCGAGTTAAGTAGTCTCCAATCACTGGTGGTCCCCACAACTGCTCGGCACTAGTTGCTTTCCGATACAGACGCAATTCGAAAATTTGACGCCACCGCAAGCCAGTGATTTATTTAAATAAATAGTGTTATGGATCCAACATACATACATATTTAAATATGTATTATTTATTATTACTACATTTAAATGTTTACATACATATGTACATATGTATGTATGTATAAGCTACCGTTTGCATTTATAGAAATGTATTTTTCGTATTTATTGGTATAAATTAATATTTTTAGTTTATTTTAAGAAATATATAATATATACGTGTACAACCATACATACTTTTAAATAAAATATGATGCTGATGGTGTATGCTTATTTACAAAATAAAATATTTACTCTTAACATTAAACACATTGGATGGTTGTTATTGTATTTATTTGAAGACGTTTCGAACGGCAACAGAAGATTCTACTTTTCCCTATCAGAATACAAAACATACAAAAATAAATGCACGGAAAATTTCATAGAAATCTATTAACTACATGTACATTAGGGTGACCACTACTCTCCATAGGTGTTTAGTTGAACGCCTAAGATCCGTAGACATCTTCGTAGATAGCTCTAAACCAGTCGGCAAAGAATGTTGTGGAGTTTACTCTGATACTCTTGCTATCGAATTAAGTGAAGGACTTCCCAACCACTGCAGCATCTTGCAATCCGGACTAAGCCGCTTCATGTTTGCTCGACTAAAATACGATAACCCAACCAATTGCAACATATTCTTACAGCCACTCTGTCCTTAAGCCACTCCATTGCAATCATACCACCTCAAAGGTGGCAATAAAATGAAAAGGGAATTTGAACCAACTCTCGTCCTTGGTTTGGCTTTCGCTAATAGAACATTCCAGAGAACTGTGTAGCCGATGAACCAGAAAGCACGTTATGTTCTGCGCATCACGTGGACAAAGTATCTGTTAAAATTAGCCTTCACCAGTGGATCCAACAGCAGATGGTAGTGTTTTGTAATGTGATCAGGCAAATCTGCCTTTTGATTGATGTAAACAGACCTCCTTCTAAACAGGACCTCTGCCATTGCCCAGCTCTCAGTGCGGTCTGTTGTCGCTTTCGCGGAAATTTCTTCTTCGATTGCAGAGCTTGCATGGATAGACATTATTAATGTGCAGAGCTTCACAAGACACACCAATTGACTAAGCTTAGCACAAAGCTTTGGAGTATAATGACCCATAAATTACCAAATTATTCTTTTCTTCACTTGTCACGCGCATTTTCGAACATGGTTCCGTTGTATGGAAGCAAACCCATCTGTACAAAAGCAATTCCTGCTTTTCGCGTTGAGAACTTTACACTGGGATACGACTAAGAATCTCCCTCCCTACAAAATACCTCCCACATCAAGTGATGAGCACATACCCACTTGCCATCATCTTTAGCATCCCTTTAAGATCATCAAGACACTATAGATCCCTTTGGTTCGTGCTCATGCAAAACCCAGTTTGGATAAAGAACTCCATAGAGAGATTATAGATTCTGCTGTCCGTAAACTTTTTCCACAGCCTAAAAGTATGCAAGACTTCGCATGCTTTTTGGTGTTTGAATTTCCGTTCAAACTCTACACACAAGTGGGGTGTTCGCACGCCGTGCACAGACATATTTATCGCTATAAGGAGAATTTCAAGGCAACGGAAGAATATCTAAATTTTACTGTAATTTTTTTTGAATGTTCACATTTTTTTTGGAAATTTAGCTTTATGAAAAATATCTCAAAAATGTTTCTTCGTATTCCGGTATAAATTTTTTCTACAAAACTTTACGACCCTATTTTAAAAACAATTTTATTCGAAACTTAAACAGTTTCAATAATTCGGTTATATAATTTCAACTTGTTGTTGTAAAATACAGAAATTCCTGAGCATTTCAGCTCATAAATATTTGACTACATTTTTCGATTATTCGAAAGTCTTATTTCAGTGGGGATTTTCTAAATTCTGGTAAATTAAAATAGATCAAATTTTCCGCTCTTCTCCGCACTCGTTTCTCATTCGTAATGGCTGAAAAGTATCCGACAGGCAAAAGTGAAGAAAACCAGTAAGAATATCTGAAATAAAAAGATGTACTTTTTCTCAAAACACCTCTATCACTAGCATACCATATGAAGCGGTCAAGGCTATCGCCGACAACATCCTGTCACGGATACAAGTCAAACCGGTCATCGGTATTATATGCGGCTCCGGACTGGGCTCTCTAACCGAAGCCATTACGAATGCACAAAATATCGAATATAAAGACATACCCGGCTTTCCTGTCTCAACAGCGGCTGGGCATGCAGGACGCTTGGTGATCGGCATGCTGGAGGGCTTACCGGTGTTGGCAATGCAGGAACATTTTCACTACTACGAGGGTTATCCGCTGATAAAGTGTGCGCTGCCGGTGCGCGTGATGAAATTAATGGGTATTGAGTATCTGCTGGTCACCAATGCAGCGAGTGGCATAAATCCCGCGTATAAAGTTGGTGATATTATGCTCATACGCGATCATATCAATTTTGTAGGAATATCTGGTAATTCGCCATTACGCGGACCGAACGATGAACGATTTGGACCACGTTTCCCACCCATGACGGATGCCTTCGATCCAGCGCTGATAACACGCGCTCTGGGCATAGCCGAAGAGATGAGCATACAGAATGTTGTTAAGGTGGGCACATATTGCTTCATCGGCGGGCCGAATCACGAGTCGATCGCTGAGTGTAAAATGCTGCACACTGTTGGCGTAGATGCAGTGGGTATGTCCACTGCACATGAAGTGGTTACCGCTCAGCACTGTGGTCTCAAGGTGTTCGCCCTCAGCTTGATCACCAGCAAAGCCTCGCTGGATTATGAGAAGAAAGAGTACGCCAATCACGCAGAGGTTGTGTCGGTGGAGAAAAGTCGGGAGAGCACTTGTAGCGAGCTTATGTGCCGCATGATCAAATCAGCAGAGAGCGGGGCACTAGTGGCCCAAATTATAATATAAATACAACAAACCGAAAACGGGTTCAACAGAATTTTAGAAAATACTATAAAAACTGGTGATTCTTTCAATTTTAAAAAAGTAAACCCAATAAAAATCTATAAAGCATAGTTTTTGTTTTAAGAAAAAGTGATGGTGAACTTTGTAAAATTGCGATTGGTGCTGGAGCCAGCAACCGAGTCTTATTCTCTACGCATTTCTCCCGCCCATGAAGTATGAGATTTTCAAATCTTCTGCCACCATCGGCGGTATCGATAAATGAAAATAAATTGGAAAGGGTATTCAAAGGTAAAATGACAAATTTGCTGAAAAGTTGCTCGTACATCAATCAAGATCTAATTAATTTCTTCTTTATTGGCATAGGCACCTCTTATGCCAAAATAGCTATATAATAGTTCTACAATACATAGACGAAATTACCTAAAACCAAAAAGAGCGGAGAAGCAAATGCGTCTACTGCTATCGTTGCTATTCTTAAGGCCTATGATATCAACGTCATCGGCATAAGCCAGCAGATGTACACTTTTGTAAGAGATTATGCCTAGCCAATCTAGTTCTGAAGCTCTTATTGCTTCCTCCAGCATCAAATTGAAGAAATCACACACAGAGACACCCGTCTGAAATTTCGTAAGGTACCAAACGGCTCAGAGAGAACGTTCCGATCCTGACGAAGCATTTGGTGTTTCTTCACGTCAGTTTACACAGCCGTACATGTTATTGCAGGATTACCACATTCAGTCATAGCGACGTTGAGGCAGCTCTTTACTGTGCTGTCCAAAGCTGCTCTAAAAAAGTGATGATTAACGATTCTTTTCTCACGGGTTTTTCTATGGCGCATAGTTAAAAACTGATCAATGGTGGGTTAACCCGGACTAGAGCCACACTTATAAAGTCCAAAGGTGACGGAGAGCTTTAGCTCTTCCCACAATACGCTCGATAGGACTTTATATGCGATATTTAGCATGATAATCCCATGGTAATTGGCGCAGACCTTGAGCTATTAACCACCATATTTGAGTAGTTCTGTCGGTAGGCCAGCAGCTTCCGCCGCGTGGTTGTCCTTTAAGTGGGCAAACGCTATTTCATCCTAGCCAGAGTCGGCTAACGGAACGTTTTTTCCATCGTCATCATCGATTGAAGTTTCGCGTTCACCATCTCCAGGTGTTGCATTTTCATTGTCATTCAGCAGGCAGTGTGCTGCTCCGAAGATAGGTTATAAGAATACCATCTTGGTATGTTCGGATATTGAAACCTGCTGTGAGTCGTCGCGCCTTTTCATAGAATTTTCATACCGACACACTTCACAGTAAAAAGAGGCAAAGTTCGCCCATCCACTATATGTATGTATAAACACAATTGTATTCACTAGAAACTCAACTTTATTGAAGTACAGTTGGTACTACAAAGCCACTGTCAGCAGGCGCTCAGCCAGTAAATGTTAACAGAATATTAAAATAAGATAAAAAAAATGAATAACTTAAAAGGCAAAAATACATGAAATATATGCGAATTACAACTAAATTGTACAACATAAAATAAAATTAAAGTATAATTAAGATAATTTGAACTAACTTTTGGGGCGTTACATTTATCGAACGTTAATAAAAGCGCTACAATAACAAATAAAATGATTAGAACGTAAATTATTATGAAATGATTTATTTCACAAATAAAATATTTTGTTAAAACAATTTTTCTTTAACAACAATTAAAACTATTTATTTCAAAAATATATGTATATACAATTATTTGGAAAGAAATTATAATTAAAAATGATAAGTCTGCCTGCATTGACTGTGTGAAGTAATCGTCAATAGAACATTTCAAAAAGCGTTGAAATTACTGCTCAAGTCATTTGGGCTGCGTTAATATACTAAGTGTAGTAAGTATGTAAATGTGTGAAATTGTAAGTTTACTAATTTTTCAAAAGCGCAACAAACAAGAAGTTTCAGTTTTGGTTTAAAATTTCAAACGTTTTATTGCTCATAATTGCATCGATAGTGGCTTGTGAATAGGCTTGTGGGCTTCACTTCCATTTTTTTACTCTTATAAATTCAGCCGAATGTGCAGCGAGTGCAGAAGTGCTGCCATTCCGCTTATGCAAGCTGATGGAAATTTGTTTTTAAATTTATTTGCTTGATTTTTAAACATTTTTTCCTCGCACAAAACGCGTAGCAAATTTATTTCGCAAAATTTATGTAAAGTTTTATCAAAAAAGCTTGTGCCAGCAGATATGTGTGTTTGTAAATGTGTAATAAGATGATTAATATATATATTTAAATACATTTTTGGTTAATATTTTTTTTTTGTTTAATTTACGAGTATATTCATTATTATATATTGTATGCGTATATGTATGTATGTGTGTACGAGTGTAGATGAAGCCTTAGTATAAATATTAGAATCAAACGCCTGCAAATTGTTTTATTTTCATGCTTGTAAAATATGTAAAAAGTTCATAAATATTTTGTTTTTTGTTTTTTGTTTTTTCATTTTTCCTTTTTCCTTTCTTCTTTAGGGTTTTCCTCTGTATATAAGCAAATATATCAAAAATGATTGTTTCTGTTTGTGTGTACATAATGCATGCGTGTGTTTATGTGCGTTTGCGTGCACTTTTATATAAATATGTTATTACAAAATATAATTCTCAATTTGAATAGCATTGTCACTTGTTTGTTTGTTTTTGTTTTTTGTTAATTACATAATATTTCACCTCCGTTTCCCCGCATTTTGTTTTACTTAAACATTTTTAGTCCTTAAGTATTGTAACTTATTGAATAGATTTAGAATAATTTGTTTTTCGTAATTTTAGTTTTTTTGTTTTGTTTACTTTTAAGTCTAAAATAAGCCACGCTCCTTCTTCAGATTGGTTTGTTTCCATAATGGCATCTGCTCGAATTCGGTGCTGGTCATGCCAAGCGCCTTCTGGAAGTCCTCAGCATTCAAATATAACTCTAAACGCGTCGGATCTACGCCCTCGGGCAGTGGGCGACTTTTTAATATGGCAAGCGGGTATTCAGTTTGTGTTAATTGTTTCAGCACGTCCGTGATGGGGGTGGGCTCATCGGTTCGACCATCCTGGAGGGTAGAAAGGTATAAAAACAAATTATACATTAATAATAGAAAATTATTATGATAAATATGGCTACTAAAGGCTGCATCTAGTATAGTTGGATGGCTAGAATGTATCTGAAACCCCTGGCAAGTAGCATAATGAAAGTAAATCATGTCCATGCACGCAAGGACACCACTAAGAGCACGAACTAGATTGATCTCTCAAAGCAGCGTTTTTAGCAAACTCTGAACTATGTCACCAGTTCGTATGTCTAAAATAGGCTACTAACTACACTTTACCTATAAGCAAACCCAGAAGAAACTCTTATAACCACATAACCGACAAGGTAAACGGAAGAGACTGCCTTACGAAACCGCTGAAGCGATCTTGACCGACAAACACAGGAATAGAATAAATGACATCTATAATCTAGGATCACATTAAAGGATAAGAATTCCTACACAAAGATCTAAAACTTACTGATGCAATACAACGTTCCTTACACTCCAACTAAAAAAAAAAAAGTTTTTTTGGAAATTTCGTTGGCTGACCTTGAACATAAGACCTAATGTACTTGCTTATAAAGAGGCCTGGTTTACTATAACCGACCAGAACCCCATTTACCCTTCAATGTAATATTAACAAGAACTACTTTTGCCTTACGGTTCTCCTTCCCAACTCACCTGCATGTTGATTTCTTTGATATCCTCACGCTCAGTCCAGTCAGGGAAGAGGGCTTTAAAGGCTAACGGTTCTAGGCCAGCCCAAACGACAAAGCCTTTGATGTCATGGAAGTCTTTTTCGTTATTTTCACCTGATTTTATGGAAAAGAAACAAATGCAGACATAAGTACCGTTCGAAATACAGAGTAACAAATGGAGATATTTAGAACGTACCATGTTTGGCGCACCAATATGAGACCGCTGTCTCCAAAGCTGCGCGTCGCTCTGATATCCAACGGTTCACGCCAGCGCGATTCTCATTTGTTGGACTGCTGCGCTCTTCGGTGGTAACTATGAAGAAACAAATACAAATTAATTCAATGAAAAGTATTTTTTGAGTCAAATGAACTTTAATCTCACTTTTGAGATCTTCCAACGGCCACCAGCCCATCCACAGCCACAGCGTGTCGCCGTCATCCAGCATGAAAATGGTCGGTTGTCGTGCATTGTATAGTTGTGCTTGAGTGAAAGGATAAGGACTATGTAGATCCTTGCAGCGCAGTGCATATAGCAATTCGGCGGCGCTAAATACGCCTTGCGTGCTGGAAAAGTGGAAGAGACGTGGCTCATAAGCGAAGTCTTTCGCTGACTCTTTAAGTAAGCTGTAATAGGCATCGTTATCGAGACCGTTCAATGCTTTAGCGAAGGCTGGTAACTGCTGTTTGTCTTCCTCCACCGTCTCCAATTGCACTACACCCACACTATCCAAGAACAAATCTTCTGGTTTCACCGACTTCAAGTGCTCTGCTGCGTTTTCGGCCACATCACGTGTATGCTTGGCGCTCTTACAACCATGCCATATATAGATCAATCCCTTATCGCCATGCACCAACAGCATTGAGGCGCGTGAGCGCAACTGACGCGCATGACAGTCCACCTCGCTGAGGAGCGTCTCTTCGGGCACATTGCCGGTGATTTGGTAGAGACGCCAGCTGTGTCGGCGTTGCAGGCAATCATCTTTGCGTCCCTTGTGTTGGAAGAGCAGCTTGAAAAGGCGTATGAAGGCAGGCGTCTCATCCCCTTGTGCCACACGCTTCTGAGCGCCTTTCTCTTTGTCCAACTCCACCGTGAGCAGCGCAGCCGCGCCCTTTTCATTAGCGCTCGAGTCGTTACCCTGCCAGCAGAAGTAGACGCAACGATCACGGCCGACTGTGGCACGATTGGAGATTTTACCACTCAGCTCGCGCACTGTGACGGAAATCTGATAAATCCAACGTACAATGTAACTTTCGGCGGAGTAGAAGTGACCATAACTGCTGGATTTGGCGTTGTCGAAGTTGAATTCATTTATCTGCCATTTATCGGTGGATTTTGTGATGATATCAAAGTGGCGCATGCTATCATTGTCATAGTAAAAGTTACCACGCCCCAAATTTGAATTCTCCAACACCAAGTTGGGCTCCACATAGGGCTCGCCATTGAACAGAGCTTTGCCATCTAGCGCTTTCACGGCATGCACACCATTCACTAGATAATCCTTTTCCAAATCTTCACGCTCGACCTCGGGCCAATCGGAGAACTTTTCTTTGAACAGTGAAGTCTCCATATTTTGCGTGATTTTACCCAAAATACACCAGTCGGCGCGCTTCTCGCAACGCCGCATAAACTTGTAAGACTCTCGGCAACCCACAATGGACGCATAACAAACGGGGTTCACATAACAGCTCGAGTAGTCCACAGCACCCGTGTCGTAATGCTCTTGCGCCAACTTAATGGCAGCACGTTTGGCATTCGATGGTGCCGTCTTGCCATTCCACACATACATTTCACTGCCAAAATCGAATACAATAACCTTATTCGGGTCAAGCATCTCCACTTTGGGTATACAACCCCAATACTTCTCCATTGGCACCAGCGAATCATCTTGGAATTCATATATTTTGTTAGTCTCTATGAGACTTGCTTCGAAAAGATCATCTTCATCGGCGTGTCCACAATCAGGTATTTGGTAATCATCCGGTTTGCCCAACAACTCCCAGAATTTCTTCCAGTGACGTTCATTCAAAAACTTACCATCGGTGAGGATAACTTCGGAAGTTGCCGTGCAGCCGAGATCTTTGTTCTCGACGATATAGGCGCATATCTTCTTGCTGCGCGCAATCTCTATAACGTTGGCGAACGAACCGACGTAACGGTAGAGCTGATCGCCATGGATGAGTATGAAGCAATCACCACGGTTCACAGATGTATAAGTGGGTTCGACCAAACGCGTCTGCACGTGCGTGCGACCCTTGACGTGGAGCAGCATGAGTTTTTTATAGGGCACCCATAACTGTTGAAGCGGCAATGAGGAGGATTTCAATGACACCGACTTGAAATCTTCGACGGATGCTAGCCCGGCGATGGCCTCAGCTGCCAAATTACTACTGCGATGGCCATCTGCAGGAGAGAGAATGGGTTTATAAGTTTCTAAAATGGAAGAGACACCCACTCAGCTGCCGAATACTCACATGACTCGAGTTTCAAGCGTCGCATTTCACGTTCAGCTACGCCCGACTTGACTTCGGTGTACTCGGAAGTAATATCACTGCGTTCGGCAAGACTCTTTAATGGATTCCGGGCTGCTCGTCTGCCCTTCGGTCCTTGTATGGCGCGTTTTGTAACCAAACTGTAAAGAAGCAACAACAATTTTGATAAGCCGAAGTCGATTTGAATTTGTATTTATTTTTAAATTTGACGATTTTCGTTCACATAAAGTTTCGAAAATAAAAAAAGTTCAAAGCAAATCAAAATTAATTCCAACTCAAATTTACCGTTGTGTCGCTTTGATGCTATCGAAATCGAAATCGTTCACCTCGGCATTCTCCCCAATCCCTGACTTCTGCGTGGATGCTTGTTTCTTTGATGTAAAGAATTTCTCGAACGTCTCTTCATCATCAGGCTTCGGCACGGCAACACGAGTGACGAGAGCCGCGCGCTCGGCAGCAGCACTTTTTGTATTTGCCATATTTTTCACCTCTTTTTCATTGCAACGTCCATCCGAATCGGAGTCAGAGTTCGAACTGGAGTTTTCGGATGCCCCATTGGGTCTTTCTGCTGTAACACTCAAGCTGCGTTGTAGGAGACTGTGATGGCCGTTGGTACCGCCATTAGTGCCACCATTCGAATTGCTCGTAACCATCATGGATGGGCTCTTTGCGAGTCCGAGTTGTGGTTGATTGGCACTGCGCACGATTTGCATGGGACATTTTTTAGGCTCGGCATCGTGTCCACGCTCGAATTGCAGCTCAATGGGTGATTGTGCCTTCTTCTGCAGACGTCCAGCGACTGTGAATTTCGAGGCATCGGACTGTTCTGCGGGGGGGAAAGGAAGAAAGAAAAATAAGGTGGAAAAGTTAGATCATTACGACGATAACTGGACAAGATTATTTTGTTACGTCTATTGTTGGAGCAACTAAGTTGAAAACCCTCTCTCTGATGGGAAGTCAAATGATTACATAAGAAGTAACATCCGTATGGTATTACTCAGAGGATTTCGTTGAAACAATAAGTGTATAGCTGCTACTTACCAATGCGATCCTTCCATTTTTCAGAAGATGTTTTCAATTTGCCCAAACGATCTGAAACTTTGCCACCCTCCAGGCAAGTTGGTATTAGGGGTGAATGAGGCAATGGCTTGTCCGATAGGGAGTGTGCCAAAGAAAGTGATTCCTGGAAAATAAGAATGGAAAGTTTATATAGATAAATGCTATAGCTATGAATAATTATAATAACAATAACAACAATATTAATAAAGGTAATCATAATATTAATAATAATAATAATAATTAAAAATAATTATTGGAAAAGTTAAGAGTTTCCACATCCTTCTACTGTATTTACACCTATTCTGGTATCCGACTCTCTTCCAGAATTCGATGAAGGTTTAGATGGGAAGTTTTTCAGTTTAAAAAAAACGTATGCTTCACATCTCTGACAGCATAGCAAATATTAACCTTTGGTAGGTTCCCACAGGTCTTTTAGCTTAATTACGATATTCTCTAAACCTTTTGGAAAAAAACTGCGAATTAGCATTGTATTATAGTTTCTAAGTCCAAAGTAGGCTTAACAATTAAAGCATTACTTTTTAATATGCTTATAAAGCCAAATTGAACATATGGGATCCAAATTTGTGGCTCAGCATCTAAATCTGGCCTAGACAGAATTCAAGGGATACAGTCTAAAACTTGAAGAGCTATATGCAGGCTCCCTTAGTATCTAAGGCTCCGTAGCACACAACGATCTCGAGATTATCTCCGTAACGGTTATCCTTGCAGCTAGCAGTATATTGCATATGGAAACTTCTGCTGGTGGAGTCGATCACTTTCAGGAATATATAAATAACAGTTCAAAATGGAAATACCAATGACGACGCATAACTATAAAATTCTCGTTAAAAGTAATTACCTCTCATAAAAGCAGTCATTTTACGGTAAAAACAAAGAAAGTTTACGCATGAGTCATGATTTATTTTAAGAATAATTAATTTATAACATCCTCAAAATTCTAATCAATAGAGAGAAAGAACAACCAGCTTTTGTTATCAATTAACGGGAGGTGATAATAAATATGTTAATATGTATCTAAATAAACGATAGAGAGCCGTATAAACTGTGCTATCACGGTACACATATATTATAATTAATTTTAATGACAAATATTGGTAATACATACATACATCTATGCATATAAAAATTCTATTTTCGTTTGTAAAAAGATTCGGTACCTCCAAAAGTTAACCGACCGATTGACTTGACTTGACTCTGTCAGATTGTTTCTACGGTTCCTCGAAAGGTTTGTACGAAAACATTTTTTTCCGGAGTCCCTGGACTTATTCGAAAAAGTCCTTTTATGGTTCGGTTTACCTGATATTCGGAAAATATGAGGCTTTTTGCTTATATTAACAGGAAGGCTACTCTTCTCTCCGGGAAGTAAACTCTCTTATTCGAAAAAGTCCTTTTTATTTTTTATTTCGCTTAAAAGCTTTTTTTTACGGGAAATGAGTTTTTTTTTAATTATTCGTATGCATGGTTCGTATGTGTATGTCTAAATGAAACGCAATATTTTTGTTTTTTGGAAATGAACGAAGTTCGATTTACCCGAAATATAAATAATTTTAGGGTTCGAGGTACAAACAATTCTTATTTTTTAAACTTGAGTCGGAAAAGCCCAACATGGAAAGCGAATGCGTCACATATAATACAAGCCAATAGACACCGTTCTGGAAGCAGATGAGGCAGACAATTATCTAATAGTAGTTTTGAACTCGTTGGGCTAAGCGGGGTGCCACCGTCCGTATTAAAGATAAATAATTAATTAATCAGTCGAAACTCTGAAGGGCAAACGACTTGCGGTCAAAAAATTACTAAGAGACATAACAAAAGCAAACATTTCCGACCGGACCTTTCAACGGTGAAGACGTTTTCATTACTCCCTTTCCCGACTAGTTTCCTGTTCCACTCTTAATATCAATATTTGGACTTGTGGGGTCTACATTTAAATGCGGATTGTTTCGCACAAAGACAATTCTGTGTTGGATATTGGAGGGTTGGCAAATCTTTTTATTTGGGTGAACGAAGGTAAAACCCAAAAAAGTTGTCTGCTCAAGAAGTATTGAGTAAAAAAAAAATTATTAAGAAAATATATAAAAAGTTTCATCTTTCATACATTCATTGGCATGTGCCACGGCGGAGCTTTGCAGGCTACAGCTATACGTATACATACATATATGTATGAATTTTGAATACACTTTTTAACACTTTTCTGTTTGACTAAATAAAACATTAAACTATTTCAATATTTTTATACAACATATGTATATGTAAATATGTATATTGTATATGTACATAAGTACGCACATATATACCATTTTGCGTGGGTGTTTTGAATGACCCGAAAATTGTCGCTACCTGTCGAATATTTCTCCACCAGGCCAAATTGGAAATTTCGTGATTTCAAATTAGAAATGTGCACAACAACAACAACAACAATATTGACAAGTTTCACAAATATGTACAATGCAAAGGCGTAATTAAAAATAATCACTTCAAATTGTTAGCGCATAGAAAATGGGCAGCTGAGATTATTATATGTATCTATGTGTATATATGAATAAATATGGTATACCATCATATATAAAAAGATACACAAAAGTCTACTCACAAAACACTAGATAAATACAACACATTCACAAGTATCTGCGCACCGAAAAGCAAATCGATCAAGTCCATTTTCGTTTCGTTAATGCGCACTTTTATCGTTCGGCGAATTAGAATGGCCCCTTTCCGAACGGTTTTCCCATTTGCCTTTATTTATTATTATTATTTTTCGCTTTCTTAGTATTTTTATAGGCCCAGTCGCACATACACGTACATACATACATAAGCGCACATAAATAATTTTTTATTTAATTTTTATTTTTCGCCTGCAATTATGCCTTTTTACATGGTGCATATGAACTTGTTTTAGTCCTTAAATGGGCATCGCTCATTGCACAGCTCGCCGTGACTGCTAGACACAGGCAGGTAACTCACGCACCCCCTGAGCGTGATTTGAGAAACAAATCCAAATTCAAATTACTTTTTGAAATTATTTTATTGCAATCACTTTGGCATCATTTGCATAACAAATTGCAGTTGCGCCATGCACATAAAGACATATGTAAATGTGTGTGTATAAATATTTAAATAAAACATTTTTGGAGAAGCTCTAAAAAACATTAAAACTACGTGTATAATAACACTAATTACTGGCGGCAATAGAGTGTTTATGGATATTTGGTGACATTGAAAAACCTTTTTCAACAAAAATTCTTATAAATTTACTAAATACAGACTGTTGTTAATGAGTCTGCGAGACTTGCCTTTTATTAGACGAATTTCTAAAAAAACATGGGGTTGTTCCGCAAACTATTCATGCTGATATTGCAACATCCTTACGAGACCTATCGTGAAATTGAGGCAATTACAGGCATTAATGGGAGCAGCATACATTAAATATTGCATGAAAATTTGACGGTAAAAAAATTTGATCACGTTGGATCACACACAATTTGTCAATCGTCCAAAAAAAGGCTCGTGTCGCTTGGTCGAGTGCTTGGAAAGAGGTCTATGACAGGTGATGAATCGTGGATTTACACATATGAGTGAGAAAGTGGGCAGCTATGGACTGAATGGGAGTTTAAAGACGAGCCGAGTTCAACAAAAGTTGTTCGCGCATGAAGTACATCCAAACAAACACAAGATCAATGCAGAACACCAGAACACCAAATGATTTCTTTTATTTCCGTTCGTAAAAAATAAACTGAGAGGTCAACTTTTTTTCGAGACCATAAAGGATTGATCAGATCAATCAGACAAGGGGTACAACACATGCAAAAGTGTATACTTCCTAAGGGAGAATATTTTGATGAATAATAAAGCGATTTTCGGTGCCCAACCCCCTTGCAGGTCGATAAGAATACTGCAGCTTTGAAAGTTTTCGATGCAGTAAACGCCGATGCAAGCAGAGGAAGTGGAAGACCATCACTCCGGCGGAAGGACGAGGTCCAAAAGCACCTAGCACCGATTGGCGCAAAGCAGCGTAAGCGGTGCCCACGTCAAAAAAAGGAAGAGGAAATTTCTACACATCAGTATTTCGGACCGTGCAATGGCTCACGAGGTTTTTAAATTCCAACTAGAAAAATCCCTATTTTCGAACACAATTTTTTTTTTTTTTTTGAATACCATATAAAAGAAAAGTATATAAGCATATGTACATATGTTCAGTCTGTTATTATTACCAATTTAACATTCTCCATGCTGCTTCTTCTATAGTTGAATAGAATTTTTGTTTATTTTAATTGACAATCACCAAAGGCAACTATTCTAAGAGTGACATTAAAAAACCCGTTGAATTTAGTAATGAAGTTCATACGGCTGTTTTCCAACAACAAAAGGCGCCACACCTGCGCGATCGCATTCGATCAAAGGAAAGCGCGATCGAACGCCGCTGCCGCTGCCGCTGCCGATGCAACAAATGCAGTGAGTGATGAGTAGTCTGTGGTCGGTTTTTGTTGTTGTGCTTTTTGTTTTTGCTTAGCGCGCACTTAAAGCTTTTACACAACAATTAAATATTGATTTTTTATTGCCAGCAAGCGAATAGCAAAGCGGCATTCGAACGAAAACAATTGTGAAGGGAGAAAAACTGCAAACGTGACAAAACGCAAACAAACGACTACAACAAAAAAAAAAAGAAAAGCAATTGTGAAATCACTGCAACGCGGCGTATTTGTTTTTCCTTGGATTCACTTAATCCAGCTTTTAACGGATTTTCGATATTTCAGCGTACGCGCCGCATTCTAGAAGCGTTTGAACTGAGCGTAGGCGGTTAACTGCTGGCGCACCGTGTACTGCTCACCTTTCCAGCTGGTGATTTGGCGTGCTTTTTGCTAAATACTTCAGCTCAGCCAAGTACTTTCGGGCATGCATACATAGTCTGTACACGGGTGTACGAGTATGTGTGTGTATATGTGCGAAAGTGATAGATAAATAGCAAAAGTTCTCTCTATTTGCATTCAAAAAATGCTCAAATGTAGCTTGAAATAACTAATTATCGCTGTATTGCCATCAACCCTTCTCCACCTCAACAAAATATGGCAGGCAAAAACTATTTAAATCCCATAAATGCTTGAT